GGAAGGAAGGAAGGAAGGAAGGAAGGAAGGAAGGAAGGAAGGAAGGAAGGAAGGAAGGAAGGAGGGAAGGAAGGGAGAACTAGAAGACTGTTAACTACCTCCTTTTGGTCTGCATAGAACTAGTGAGGCACTGAACCTGATATTGACAATTCCTTTTTGTTGTTCTTATGTGATTCTCCATGAAGGTGTAGAATGGAAAGCAAGATGTCTTTTCAAAGACATCTTTCACCTAATGGAAAGCAAGATGTCTTTGCATTGAGCATGCTTTTCAATTACACAAATGTGGAACAGTTAAACAGGAAACAGAGCCCAAAAAGGTTTGGTTTATATACTGTAATATAGTCAGGGGCTAATTCTCTTATAGAAGGGATTCCAGAATACCTCATTCCATTTACCATCAAGTGAAATGAAACCCAGAACTTTCCACACTGCTAAAGCAAAATATCCTGTACATGATATCCTCTTCATTTAATCACTCTGTCATTGTTTTACCCTTCAAAGGGAAGGGAAAATCAAACGCAGATTTGGCATTGTGTTGTTTGCAAAAGAAAAAAAAACCTGTAAAATCTCAAATGATGCAAAACAGAAAAGACAGTAGTTTCTTTGACCTTCGGAAATTTCCACTGTTCTTTTCACATCCATTGACAAGATGACTATGCAGTTTAAGTGTGTATGCACAGAACCCACTATAAAGTCATACTTTTACCATTAGTTTCTCTAATAAAATGTTTCCTACTCACATTTAGATATACATTCAGATATACTTATTTTTTACCAGACTTTTGATTTAGGGCAAATAGCACCAAAATTTCATTAGGAGACACTTATATCAAATTCAAAATATTCAATTATTTTATACCTAGTCACCACAAGTCAGTATTTGTTTTTTTGATTTATCTAGTAATGGTAACTATAGTATGTGGATTCAAAAATTAGGAAAATCCTTGAATCAATCATTTAGAGTTTAAAAATGTATATACTGCAAAATTAGAAATTAACCAAAAAAAATCAGTTGATAATGGATGATGTCAACTAAAAGGCTACATCAAAAGCTCATTAACTGAGCAAAACCAGGCAGTATAATATTATTAACAATGCCCATACAAAAATAAAATATGATGGTCTTTTAATCATTTTAAATTTGCCTTTGAAATCTAAATGCATAGAATTTAGAATTGTTGTAGAATTATCTCTACAACTTTCTCTTCACTTATTCTTGAAATATTTTTCATTAAAAAGAATTCTGCTTCCATGTTTTTCAAAATTGTCCTGAAAGACAGCAGCTTTTGTATCCTTCCAGACATTCAAGGCACATGATAAAATGCAGTGGCATTGTAGAATATCTTCATCCATATTGCAACTGTTCTTTTCCTCCCTTTGTAATCTTTCTTGGTTATGTACAAAGAGTATGACCATCAAAAGGATAATAAATGGCCTCTGCCACTGGGGTGTGTAATACGTATAGTGGGAATTGATTTGTTGGTTATGAAGGAAGCCATAGAGCACACAGATCACTGCAAAATCACATTGAGGCCAGCAGCTACTTCTCAGTTCATGCAGACATCCCCTCTATTGCTCACAGGGTGAGCTGCCAGAGGGTGAGAAGAATGGTGAGGTCATCCAGTATTCAGCTATTAAATGAAACCTATTTCTCTGAACTTTAGCCACATTTCAAATGACACACATATATCCACCTTCCATGACCAGTCCTAATAAAGACATGAAATCAAACAAGATTTCTATGATCCATCCATGTAATCATAATAAAAACCACCAAAATTGCTTAAAAAAAAAAAAGGAGAATGGATTCTTAAACTACCCTCTTCTATAGTTAACAAGAATCCTTAGGAATTAGGAATTTGGATACAACAAAGAGCCACCACTCATCAATTACGCATAATAATTCTTATTTTAAAATCACTACCAATAGATGGCACTAAAAATTTCCATATTCCTTTCTTTTGGCGTAACCAAACATATTCCGGTTGCAGTATTTTTTAAAAATTAAGGTGCTTTTTTCATTATAATCATCTATAGGTAGTTCTCTTATTTAGGAACTTCTTATTTCTTTTCCACCATATCCCACTTATCAGCACATTTCTGAGCATGGATATCCTCAGTGACTTCTTTCTAAGGCTTAATAGTTACCTTTTCAGGGAGTCATTATCATGAAGATATCAAAGAAACATGCATACATCATATCATGTCACTGCTGAAGAAGGCTTTATTACATTCCCTCAGCATTCCCTGCTCCAGAGACTGAACTAAAGCCTAAATTAAGTCACTTGCCTAAGTAACATTACTAGTAACAAAGAATTTTTAAACTAGTGTCTCCTGCTTTTTGCTTTTTGTTAGGACTCTGTCAGCTAC